AACAAAAATCTGTAGAAATCCACATAATTAAGGCATTTTTTGCTCACGTGCATATTATCCCAAAGAAATCACATTATTATCAAACTAAGTTTACTTCGATTTAATCATAAAACTGAAATTTACTTCCACATAATGTGATTAAACTGAAATTGACTTACACATAATGTGATTAAACTGAAATTGATTAATCCGTAGATTAAATTAAATCTACATCTTAGACTAAATTTTCTTTTCTTTTAAATCACATTACATATTATCCGAAAGAAATCAAATTTCAAATTAGCTAAATTACATACTACCCGTGCATCGCACGGGCTTGAAAGCTAGTAATGTTTTATTTGAAAATGTGTCCAGTCCTTGCAAAAGTAGGGGAAACCTTTTAACAATTTTAAGGGCTAAAATCTATAATAAAAACATACCAAAAACCCTAATCCTAAATGTTCCAAGTATAGTACAATTTGCTTTAATTGGTTTGCAAATACGTAGTAGTTTGCATAAGAGAAGATTTTTTTCACTTTTAGTCCACAGACTATTATATCGGTGACATTTTTTGTACTCGATTTTGAACTTTTCCCTTTTAGTCTTATGATTATTGCGCAAAAGACACTTTTGGTACTCGTATTTGAAATTTTCCATGTTTAGTCCTTCGAATTTCATAAAGTGACAATTTTAATCCTTCAACTATTATTATAGTGACATTTTTTTAGTCATCCATTTATTGTGCCAAATTCACAATGGAAGGACTAAAAGCGTCAATTTGACAATTCTCAAAGGACTAAAGGTGGGAAGTTTTGAAGTTGATAACTAAAATTGTTTCTCACACAATTGACAAAAGACAAAAAATGAAAAAATTAAAAGTCGGGTACAAAAGTGTCATTGACACAATAGTGAAGGAACTAAAGTTCAAAAGCTCCATAAGAGAATGAGCACAAGTTCAGATTGTCTATTTATATCTGATTGTTGAAAATTGAAAATATACATACTTGTTCTGTAACTGTGTTAGTGCGTTTTATGTAATTTCTTAAAATTAAAGTCTCATTAGCTACATGATTCGTGATTATCAACACGAATAATTTAAATTATAAAGTCTCTACACGCTGAAAGTGATAATATTGGGGCATGATGTTCTCACTTTAATTAATTTGTCTTATATCATATCCAATTAGCCCAGACTATTGGGCTGAAATTTTTAAAAGCGAGTTCAAAAACATAAAAGTAGTCTTCTTTGGCTCAGAGGCTCAACTTAGCTAAGACTAAAAATAATTGATTGACTTATTCAAAACTTTAGGAGGGAATTAAGCATTTTCGTACCTATATATCTTAGCTAGAGTATTCCTATCTTCGACTATGTTTGGCACAACTAGTTGAAAAGATACTTTTGTTGTAACACTTGAGATTTAATATAAACGGATTAATAGTACTACTCATACCAACAGAGATGCATCTCCTTTTAAGGGAGCTCATTAGCCAAGAACTCCAAAGTTAAGCGTGTTTGCACGGGAGTAGTCTTGGGATGGGTGACCCCCTGGGAAGTTTCTCAGGGCACGCATGAGTGAGGACAAAGTGCGTGGTAAAGGCTTGTGGTGGTTTGTGGGAACAGTACTATTGGTCCGGAGTAACTGTCTCGGGTCCGGTGGGGCCGGGGTGTTACTAGTGGTATCAGAGCAACCCTGCGACAGTGTGCTGATCCGTTGGATATCGGGCAGACACTTAGCAGGAGAAAGATTCTGGGGTTTGATTGAGATTTGAGATTGGTTTATGGGCGCAACGAGGACGTTGCGTTCCTAATGGGGGTGATTGTAACACTTGAGATTTAATATAAATGGATTAATAGTACTACTCATATCAACAGAGGTGCATCTCCTTTTAAGGGAGCTCATTAAGCCAAGAACTCCAAAGTTAAGCGTGCTTGCACGGGAGTAGTCTTGGGATGGGTGACCCCCTGGGAAGTTTCTCAGGGGGCGCATGAGTGTGTGACAAAGTGTCCGGAGTAACTACCTCGGGTCCGGTGGGGCCGGGGTGTTACATTTGTGATCTTTTTAGTAATTGTCAGCTTTTAGTGGCTGAAAAGATCTTAAAAAGAAAAGGTGATAGCTGTTTGGTAAAATACCGACTGTTTAATTTAGTTTGGTTTGGTATACAAGCTGTTAGGACTAATTAATACTAAAAGTCATGAGCTTTTATCAGATGCTACACCCGATAGCATTTCAAAAAAGATTTTTTAATTTTTGAAAAACACTTAAAAAATGTCATGTCAAACATACAACTAGAGTCTTTTAACGTCTTCTTAAAGAATAGAGAAGCCAGAAGCTAGAAGCTTTTGTGTGTTAAACATAGCCATATGTTTTTCTTTCGCCCAACAAATTGTAATATGCCACACTCTTGGGTACTAAGAATTGGGTACGAGAAAAGGATTTCTCTTCCCAATGGAGAACATGAGGGGATCAGAGGGTTAGAGGGGGATTGCAGGTGGAGCACAAAGCATGTTCGATGGCCGACTGTCTTCTGCGAGAAGAGCTGGGGCGGTGCTAAAGATTCTGGTACCAGGCGGCAGTGTCCATCGGTGGTCTAAGAGTGGAACCGCGGTTTTACACACACATGCATATATGTATATATACTTCGTATTATTTTATTCTAGAATTATATACTATAGTTCATACTAATTATATACACCATAAAAAATATACTATATACAAAGTATAATGTGAAAATAGGTATTACATTTTTATACTACATATTATGTATTTAAAAATAATTTATTTTCATTATATTTTATATATATTTAATTTACCACAAAATATAAATAATTTCTTATTATTTTATAAATAGACATCTATATTTTTATTATGAACTTTTATTTTATTTTATATTTTTATCTTCTATTTTTTAATTTCTTATTTTTTTAAAAGCAATTTGACACTTTTTTAACAGTTAAGGGGGTAAACTGAATAACTATGTCGGGTTCAAGGGCCTATTTGACCCCTTAAATTGCCACGTAGATGATGTGGCATCCACGGTTGGCATCTGACTGGATGACGTGGCGGTGACCGGACGTTTACCTGCAAAAAATGAGATTTGAACTTTTTCTTCAGGTTCAGGGAGTGAATTGGAGCGAATTGAGCATTTTCCTATATTTTCCCCTTCATCGTTTTATGTATTCCCTTCATTTCTCTTCTTTTGTTTTCATTTACGATCGTATCAAGACTTCATCATCTTTACCTCTTGGCTTTCCTCCATATCTTTTGGTCTTACTTTTCTCTCTACAAATCAAAGACAAATTTCCTCGAGTTTTGTCTCTAGAAGTTAGCCACGGCCCACGAGTCCCATTTATGCATATCTTTTATTTCTATTTAGGTAATTAATTTTGGACTAGATTAATCGATTATTTGGTGATGATAAGTTAGTGATCGAGTTCGTATTGAAATTATTCAAAAATTGATGTGATAATAATTTGAAGATAAGTTTATAAATACTACTACCTCCGTAACATTGGGATGTTCCCATTTGAAAAGTAGGTAGATTAAGAATAATGAAAGGAGATATGTATTATTAGGGGTATGATGGGAAGATAGTGAAATAATGTGATGGAATGAAGGATAAATCCAAAAAAAGTAGGTGTAATAGTGTATTATTTTTAAAATTATTGAGGGTATGATTGGAAGATTTAGAAATGAGAAGATATTAGTGTTACGTCCAAAAAATGAAAGTGGGAAGATATTTACGTTAGGGAGGTAGTAGTATTAAATTGTTTAAAGAGGAATGACGTGAAATGCATAACAATACTCTCTTTGTTCTTAAAAACAGCACCAAAGTAAGGACAGGGCCACCGAAGTGTTCAAAGGCAAACACCTATCTGGCACGTCTCCACCATTCGATCACTTATCCAACGGTCGTAACTTCGTGGATTGATTTTTCTCAACAGATGTCCAGATCACATTTCAACATCCGACGGTTATGATGAGTCAAGACGACAATATATAGAGTAGAGAATCGGGTTTCCTAGTGACATGGGTAACTTAGTTAGTCCAGAATTCCGAGAATTTGAAAAAGTGGTGAAAACTGTCAAATAGGTTCTCGAACTTTCATAAAAAGGTCAAATAAACCCTTATATAGGGGGCTCTGTCCGGCCGTCGTGATTTGGGACGGTTCCCGTTGGAATTTTTTGATGAAATTTTTTGAGCATCTTATTCATCAAGTCTAGTTTATTCATACCAAATTTCACTTAAAATTTCAATCAGGAACCTATTCAAATTAATTTTTAAAGATAACTGTTCAGTTAAATAAATTATTGGACAACTTCCAGCAAATTCTGGGTGCACTGTCCATACAATTGAAGTTTACTACACAAATCTCAGTTGGCACCCTTTCCATAAAATTATTGGGTTGCTAATTGGAAAAAATAATGTTAGTAAGGCCGGTTTTGGACACAAAAGGGTGCGCAAAGAAAAAGTAAAGAGCAAAGGTGCGCGAAGCACCTCCCTTCTATAATAGCTCTTCAATTCTCTATTAAGTAATTGCTCCCTCTAAATTTAATCTTTAATCCTCTTTAATCTTTTTTATCATTCTTTAATTTTCTTTAACCTTCTAATTTTTCTTTGAATCATTAAGCAGATTTAAATATGCTTTTCTTATTAATGTACCTGTTTTTTTAAAGAATTTAGTTCATTTTTTTGCTAATCTGAAAAGAGAGTTTAGCAAAATTAAGTAGAGCAACATTGACTTGCTCTTTTTATACAAATGTTTTGGTAATGATATATTCACATTTACCTATTAATGTATGTGATTATGTATTCACTGAAACAAAATTATTTATTAATGTTCACTTATCTTTCTCTGTGGGTGCAACATCCACAATGTATCCTTGTCATTTTTACAATTAATCATAATTCATTTAGTCGTGATTTTATTTATTGTTAAGGTAATTCACTTTTTCTTTAATTTAGATTAGCTTAAATGCAGGTTGTAGTAAGTTTATATTGTGCTAAGAGAAAACGTTTAAAGAGAAAACGTTTAAAGGACATTAAATCACCAAATGTGTAGTATAAGATACTAGTCAACCAAACAAAAATAATGTGAGACTCCCTTAGACTTAACCAAATTCAAATGAAATACGAAAATATTTTCATCATTCTAGCATACATAACAGGGATAAGGGTCAGATAAGGCCTCGAACTTGAAAAAAAATGTCAAATAAGACCATATTTAGGATGCTCTGTCCGGCCGACGCCATTTGGGGTGGTTCCCGGTGGAATTTTTTGATGATTTTTTTTTAGAATCTTATTCATTAAATCTAGTTTACTCATATCAAATTTGAACTAACAATTCAATCTGGAAGGCATTCAAATAAATTCATAAAGATAACTGCGCTTTTAACGGTACAGTTATCTTCAAGAATTTATTTGAATGCCTTCCCAATTATTTGATATGAGTACACTAGACTTAATGAATAAGATTCTCAAAAGATTTCATCAAAAAATTCTACCGGGAACCACCTCAAATGGCGTCGCCCGGACAGAGCATCCTAAATATGGCCTTATTTGACATTTTTTTTCAAGTTCGAGACCCTATCTGACCCTTATCTCTACATAATAATATGACATTCTCAAAGTAACGTGTTATTCCGTGAACCAAACTGGGTGTTAGGGTTTAAGGAGAGAATTGGGTTCCGTAGAGTAATGGTGGACACGAAGCACCTACATTTCGGTGTGTAATAATCAACTCGGAATCGCGCGTCATCAGCGCCCATTTCTCCACATCCATCCACGTGGCACGCCTTTAGACAGTATCCGTCAGCTTTCCAGGAGCGGTTGCCGCAAAACGGCAGTCGTTTCGCCTTTATCAACCCTTACCCATTCTCTAAACAATTGGCGCGGTTGGATTTTACATTAATGCCCTCCACGTCTTCCGTAATTACCATCCGGCCATCGTCTTCCCCTTGCTATAAATCCAGGCTTAAACAATCTCTAGGTTTGCCAAACTGAAGACCCTCAGGGCACTTCAAAAGAAATCTTCCTCCAGATTTGTTTCGTTTCTGTTTTTTTCTGTTATTTTTGTTTTCCAAATCTTATATCTCTAGATTTCAGAAATGTCCACTTCTTCTAGAAAATCTCTAAGGTCGAGCTTTCAGCGCTCCCTCTCGCCGTCCGGCCGGTTCTTTGCTCCGATGACTGATAAAGATGTCTCATCTTTCGCGTCATCGACCAGCTCCAGCTTCTGCTCTTCTCCTTCCACCGGTTACTTCAATAGATCTGCGTCCCCAACGCGTGTCAATCTCCACGGATTTGCGCCACCGACGCCGTCCGTTCGTTTCTCTATCGACCGATCTATCTCCCCACGCCGTTCGGTGGCGGTCTCTCACCGAGATCAGGTGGTCCGGAAGCAGAGCATTGGAAATCCGTTGGCGAATCTCCCGAAGAAGACGTGTATGTGCTCTCCGACGACGCATCCAGGTTCGTTTCGTTGTAGTTTGCACAAGAACTTGAACAACAGGCCGTCGATTTCTTACTCGCCGAACCGGTTGAACGCCAGGAGGTCAGCGATGACGAACTCACTGGTTCGGATCGGGACCGTGGAGGGAGATTTGGTGAAGCGTGCTTTGGCTGCCCTCATCCGGCCTTCTTCACATCAGCAAAGGCGCCGTGGAGATTTCCAGCCTAGACCGAGCCGGCTTTCAAGGATGACGAAAGCGGATGATCTGTGAGTGAGTTCCTGGTACAGGTCTGTATTGATTTGAACTGTTTTGTTGAGTGTTCCGGCGGTGGCGTCAGATTCCGGCTGCGGTTTTTTAGTACTCCGATGAATCAAAGCCCTAGCGAACAGATACAGTTTTGGCATTTTCACGGAAGATCCCCCACTTGTAGATATGTATTGCAGCAAACTGATACCAATCGAAGGACATTGTGAACTTTTGCAACCACTTAAAAAACTAAAATGAATTATCTGATTGATCTTCAATCTAAATTTGTAAAACCGGAATTCAGTTCATTGAGAAATACGTGAGGATTGATTGCTTGATTATATGGATTGAATGGAGTTTTGTGTGTGTGGCGTTCGTTTCGTTGTTTTACGGCGACGTTTTCCGCCGTTTCTCTGTTTCACCGTTTGGATTCGCCGTGGTATGCGTTTGGTTTTCGTGTTCAAAGGTACATGAATTTGAATTGTTTATTGTTTTTTTTTATCTTACTTTTATTACTTCTATTATTTTATTTATTTGATGACTATTAATTTGTTTCATTATGAAGTTAGGTTTGTGCAGGAATGGCGTCATGGAGTGGAATTCATTGAATTTGAAAATTGAAGATTGGACAAGGGATTATATCCTTCGGACTTTGGACTTATCTTGAAAGGAAACCTACCTGTGCTGAACTGGAAATGTAGAGATAGTGGGACATTGTTCATCTTCTTAAAAATTGGGGAACCATACACTCTTTACCTAAGAAGGCAATTGAAAATTGATTTAACCTAAAAGTTCTATATGGAGTACAAGATTGTTTTTCACTCATAATCTTCAAATCGATAAGAAATTATCATTGAAATACGGATAATAAAGTAACAAAAGAGAATACTTTATCCATTGTACTATTGTTGGACCGTTGGCACATTATTTCACCCATTTTCCTATCTTGAATGTTTTCTTTTACTTGTTTATATATTATTTGTTGTTTTAATTTTTTCCATTTTCTCTTTCATTTTCCTACTTTTCTCACTCTTTCTGTTCTAATTAATATTCCTTACTTTTTGTAATTTCCATAAGATATTTTTTTTGTTTTTTTTTTGGGTCAACCTATGGCATAAAGGGACCGTTTTAACATATTTCTATGTTATTTTAATTATCAATAGTTTTCTACTTCTGTTTTTCGTTCTCCAATTTTCTGTTTTTATTTTTCAGTTTTTCTATCTCCAATTTTTTGTTTCTATTTTTTAGTTTTTCATTTTCAAATTTTCAATTTGTTTTTCAGTTTTTCACACAGTTCTCCAATTCCACACCCTTGACCCCTACCTCTACCCTTACCACGATCTTACACTCTACCCATACTCCACCACAACCCTTCATACCCACCCATACCTACTCGTAGGGGTCGGGTAGGGAAGTTATGGGTGGGGGTGGGGTAAGGAGTATGGCCGGGGTGGGGTGGTAAGGTCTAGGGGTTGGGGGGTTGGGTGGGGGTAGTGGGTGGGTTAGGGTCGTGGTTAGGGTTAAGGGTGGGGTAGTGGGTAGGGAGTTAGGATAGGATGGCGGTAGGGTAGGGTCGGGACCAGGGTGGGGCCGGGGTAGGGAAGGGGTAGGGTGGGTGTAGGATGGCGGTAAGGGTGGGGGGTAGTGGGTGGGGTTTGGGGTTGGGGCAAGGTAGGGGGTAGGGTAGGGAGTTGGGATAGGATGGCGGTAGGGTGGGGGCTGGGGTAGGGAAGGGGTAGGATGGCGGTGGGGGTAGGATGGCGGTAAGGGTGGTGGGGGGTAGTGGGTAGGGTTTGGGGTTGGGGTAAGGTAGGGGTGGGGTAGGAAGTTGGGATAGGATGGCAGTAGGGTGGGGCCCGGGATCCGGGTGGGGCCGAGGTAGGGTGGGGTGGGGGGTGGGGCCGAGGTAGAAGGCATGTGGTAAGGGGTAAGGTAGGGTAAGTGGTAATATACGAGGGGTGGGGGTAGGGTGGGTCGGGGTGGGGTCGAGGTGGTAGGGGGGTGGCGGTAGGGTAGGGTGGATCGAGGTGGGGGGTGGCGGTAGGGTAGGGTGGATCGGGGTGGGGCCGAGGTCGGGGCATGTGGTGGGGGTGGGGTAAGGTCATTATAGGGAAAAATGGGTACGCGGGGTGGGTTGGGTGGGTAGGGTAGGGTAGGGGGTAAGGGGTAATGTACGAGGATGGAGGTACCGGAATGGAATCGACATCGGAGCGTGACCGAACCCACCACTAGGTGTAAGTATGCAAATTCATTGCAAAGGCACTGTAGCATCTGCGTTTTCCAAATTTGGAAAACTAGTAAAAGTCACTTCTCCAAATCATTAAGGAAAAGAGAGACATGTTTCATTTTTTCCGTTTTGGAAAACGATTTGGTAAACGCGTTTTTCTTTTTTCCTTTCTCCAATTTTCCAGGAATTTCTTTGGTAAACACGTTTCCTGTTTTCTGTTTTCCAGTTTTTCAGTTTTCTGGAAAACTGAAAAAATACGTTTGATATACTTACAAATAATTGTAAATAAGTCTAATTTCAATAATATTTTTGTCAAAACATTTTAGCTATAGAAGGCTTTAAAATATTCGTAGTAGATTTTAAAAGTTCTTCAACCGACAACGAGTTTGATTTTTATTCTTTCATCTATTCTTGTCAATCCTTTAACTTTATTAATCACCAAAGAAATGTTTTAAAATAGCAACAAGTCATAATGACTAGCATTCATCACATGGAACATGATAACAACTAGCAATAAAAATAGCAAGAGGCATGAATCACAAGTTATTTAATTGGAAAATATTTTTGAGATGTCAGCTTCTCATTGGATACAAATAGCATTGACCATTAATTTAGATAAAAATGAAGTCTTTCATATTATGTTTGATTGAGTTACCGCGACTTAGAGCCTCTAAATGTCACATCGAATCGGGTATTGCCCCGTGTTGATGTTGGGGAGGCAACCTTTTGGAACATAAATAAAAATTAAGTCAATTTTATATGAATGGACATAAAGATCCTCATGTATATGATCTTGACATTAACACTTCATCTCTTCTTAATAGCCTTGCCTCTTGAGATCTGTCGTGGCTGAAAATGTTGTCATCATTCATCGTCTTTCATGTACGTTGATCTACTCTCGCCTCCTTCTCAAACAACCGATGCCTTCTTCACTCATTGTCACTCAACCTGCTGCCACTGCCACAACCGCGTCAGGGTCGCCGAATAAGTACATCTGCATTGATATCTTTTCTTATTTTTGCTACTTGCCTTCTCCTTTTACTCGAACAAGGGTAATTGATAAGTCCGTATTTAGACACGCATTTGATGCGTGTTCGGGTCGGATTTTGACGGTTTTCCTAGCTTTAAGGCGTTGCATGTCTCAATTTTAGCTCAAGTTGTGTTTAGCAGGCGTTGGATCGAGTTTCATTGCATTTGGAGTTGATTTGAAGAAGTTAGAGTCCGGCAATCGGCGCTTGAGAGGCATTCGGGAAGGATTTGAAGGCATTCGAGAAAGATTTGGAAGATTTGGAGGTCACCGGGAGATTCACGACGAAATTCTGATGAAGAAAGAGCATTTGGATCGACTTCGTAGGCATCCGGTAGCGTTTGGAGCAAGAAAACGAAGGAAAAGTGAAGGATAAGGTCAGGCACGGTCGTGCCTGGACTTAGGCACGCCGTGCCTGAAGAAAAACGAAACTAGGAGCTACTGGAGGCCAGGCACGGTCGTGCCTGGCAGTTAGGCACGCCGTGCCTGGACGCGAAAAAAAAAGATTTCTCCCGCAGGCACGGTCGCAGGCACGGTCGTGCCTGGCACCGTGCATGGCCGCGATTTGTCCTAATTCGACCCGAAATAATTGTTTTCTATAAATAAGGCCTCCATAACCTCGTTTTGAGTTACGAACTTTGGAGAGAGGCCTAGGGACGAGTTTTACCTGCGTTTTTTACGTTGTTTAATCCAAGAACCTGGGATTCTTTGTAAGTTCAATTCTTTAATTAATGACAATTATTTCTATTCATCCCAATTCTTTTGATTCGTCAATTATGAGGCGTGAGTAGTTTAATTAGGGATTTGGGATTGATGAAGGGGTTAATCATGATTGATGGCTAGATTCTTGTCGGTTTAATTGCATGAATGCCGTTTAATTTGTGTTTGAATAATTTAACCGATATCTCTTGTAACCTAGATGACCACTAGAATTACAATTGCTTATAGAATAAATTAAGAGAGATCTAATTTGTTCTAGGACACATTCACACACACTTAATCGTTCGCTAAGAGATTAGTAGCGATTAAGGGGCCGTAAGCTCGCTCGTCTTGGCAATAATTTAGGATCTTGTCGCATGAGAGATCAGCCTGGATCCCTAAATTATTGTACTCTACGCCGCGAGAGCGGTAAGAACTTAGTAATGATTAGCTAGGCTCAATTAAATTAAATTCATGTGATTAGGCCTGTTCTGCCAGAAATATGGTTAACCCCGGAATCAATTCCTGTTCCCTTCGTCGTTAATTAAGGAAAACCAAATCTTTTTATTCGCTCATTAGCATTAGTTTTAGTTTAATCAATCCATCAATCTCGCACAATTGCACTTTTATTTAATTTATTTCTTTTTAATCGCTAAAGTTTAGTTAATCTTTATTTCCCTTTTGTCCGTCCCTGTGGAGACGATACTCGTACTTTACACCACTTTACTACATTCTTTTTAAGTGCGAGAAAACACACATCAGTAATGAATCAAGCTTATTCGTCAATTTTTGAAATGGTAAGCGACTACAAGGGTTACAAGCGTTGTCAGTCAATGGGGGCGATGTAATGATTGACGGCGACAATGGGAGATTATGATTGGTGACAATGACAAGCGGTCAGCATCATTCAAGATGTACTCCAGAAAGGTGGTGGTGACCAGGGCTAGGGATGGGGCAATGTTAGAGCTGGTGGTGCCGTGGTGGGGGGCTAAGTGGCAAAGAAAAGGTCGGGGATAGGGCTGTGGGGATGCAAGGTGGGGGACAAGGTTGGCGAATGGGGCCAGGGAAGGTGCAATAGCGGCACCGGGCGAAGTGGTTGTACTCATAGGGGTTGTGAGCCAATGATTTGGGCAACGAGTCATTGGGCGCCATAAAAGTTTTTAGAGGGTTTTTATTTGAATGTTAACCTGACTCACATGTTATTTCCTAATATGAGGGTGGTGGACTATATGATCCTGGGCCCAACAACCCACATATTTATACTACACAAAGATAAGCTCAACGGGCCACAAGGAGTCGAGTAAGCGGATGGGCCTCCATCAATCATGAACTACAACAACACACAAAATGGTCTATTGACAAAATTAATCCGGAAAGACTCTGTCGTTTATATGACCCCTCGCACCTGAGGGCGGAGGCCTCGGTCCCGTCTTCAAGACGCTCAATCTGGCCTCCCTTTGCATCAATGGGCGCATCCAATGCACCACCATGTGTACATTTTATGCATCACTCTCGAGCTATCCACCATTTAGAAATGTTTACATGTGAATGTGCATTTAATGCACTTAGCATTTATGACTAATATAAATAGCTCCTCTTTGAGCAAATGTACCAGTTCGAACATTAATTAACATTAAACTCCTTTTCTCCTTTAACGTATTAGCTTTGTCTTGTCTCTATATACTACTATTGGTATTCCGGAGTAGCTATTAGGTGGTATATATCAACCCATCTTAACACACGCCGGTTTTTTTTTCTAATGACATGGTTGTGATGTGCTCGGGGGGGGGGGGGGGGGGGGGGGATGGTTCAAAATGTTGCTTGCCCGGCGGGTTGTTTCAGGATGCATGTAGTGATCACCCTTGACCTCGACAAATTTCTGCTTCCCACCATTGAGTACTTCATCTGTATAGGGTTGCTGCGAGCCATGCCAGCTGGCACGCAAGGACCATGCTTCACGGTATGATTCC